GATTAGCTCTGCTTTAGACCCCATGTGATAAGGTCCTTAGGGTTGCCACAAGTCCAAAATGACTTGAAGGGATAAAACAACATTGCTTTTTACCTGCTTTGTCTTTCAATTTTTTTAATGGATGTTTTGAATTGTTTTTAATGTTATATGTAGTTTAATTACATTGTAATAATGTTTTTGTATGCTTTTCCCTATGTTAGATTTCTAAATAATTTGAAAGCTATATTCAGTCTCAGATGTATGGAGAAGGGCAGAGTATAAAACTTAACAAAAATAAACACATAATGCCTAGAATCTTATTTATTAGTCTCAAATAAAGTAGAGCCACTGAATCCATTGATTAAAGGTATGTTAACACAGAGATAAATCCCACTGATTTTATGGGGATATTCTTGTCACTATTAGTAGGATGACTGCATAATTGCAGAAGAGTCTTTATATATATATATATATAGAGAGAGAGAGAGAGAGAGAGAGAGAGAGAGAGAGAGAGAGAGAAAGATGCTCAACTGGGTGGAGAGGATACCAGGAGCTTGGGAGCCACATGATTCTTACCCTTAAAGATGACAAGAAAGATATGACACTATCGTATCCATATATAACATCTGTACACAAAAAGGAAGAACCAGCTTCCTAGTAAATATTTTATCTTAAAGGAGAGGCTTGAGTGTCCTTTTCTTCCTGTCCTCTCATGAGCAACTACAACTGTATTGTCTGTACCAGATCTGCTTTTTTTCCTAGGTAAGCAACTAGTGGGTCAATGGGTACTCTTTAGGGTCCACATCTGGTTACTGGACCTGTGATTGTAGATCATTGATTATTCAGATGCCTACAGTTTATTCTCTGCTTGCTTGAAAGCAGCACCATTTTTCTTTCACTGTCATCATGACCCTTTACTTTTTAAGCCCTCAACTGCTGCAAAACATCTTGACTCTGAATGCTCTGAGTATATGACTGATGGGTGTTAGGTATTCTTCTTTGGTGGCATTGAAACTCTGCTCTTGGAGAGCAGGGGTCTTTTTAAATCTTCCTTCACTAAGGCTATTGCAATAATTTTATTTAAAAGGGGCCATTTGGGTCTGGTACTTGTTTTTGCTTAATGTACTGTTGATGACTTTCAGTGTTAGCTTCACTGATTGATTTTGATTGTTTTGCACAATATGGATGCTTGATTTGAACTGAGCCTAACTTTGAATGCACACATGCAGAAAAGTGGTTTATACATAAAGAAATTAAGCCATTATATATCATGGCCTGCTATACCAATAATTACTTCATTAATATAGCTAGAATAATTTGCCAATGTATTAAATGTCTATTATTAAATTTCCACTATGCACTAAACAGGGAGATGTGTGCTTAAATTTATTCTTTCATGAGCCCTGTTTTTGACTTATAGTGGAAATCGATTTGAACCACAGCAGCATCACACAAAGTAAACAAAATCTTTACAAATCATCACAGGCACATTTCATTAGTAACTGCACAAAAATGTTCAATAAATATCAATGCTTTCAAAAGCTAATTATGAATTCTTTAAAATGAGAGATAAATGGAAGTGTCTGCCAATATGAACTAAAACACAGCCTGTCTGGCCCCCAGTTTGTCTGCTTTTTGAACATAATCACTGATTCAGATAGATTTTATCAGGCTCATGGAACTTCAAAGGTCTCCCAAGAAAAATGTGATTTGCTGAAACCACCATCAACAACAACCCCCTGCCAAATATGCAGAGCATCCTCATATGCTGTCTCTACTGCAGTGGATTGAAATCTCATATCCAGGTGGAAGATTATTTTCAAAGTCCACCCGCAAGTCTGGAGTCCTGCCAAATAAGTTATAAGCAGACACATTTATCTTTGTCACTTATTAGCAAGAGGAGAGCTGTCATGATAGTGTAATAGCACCTTTTTACCTTTTACTCACACAGTGATATGGATAGTATACTTTTTCTTAAATTACACTATGAAGAATTATACGAACACTGGCAATTTCTGTTATACTTAAGCAGGCAAATTTCCTCCATCACATAATTTACAGAGCTCAAATTCAATAAAACATTACAGGATGGTCCATTACTGTTATCAATTTTGAATAATCCATCTTCATTCTTCATTTTACTGGAAAATAAGCAGTGTGCCAAAGATAAAATAAAATAAAAAGGAGGAAGAAAAAAAATGAAGAAATCATAGTTGGGTAAACTGATTAAACATTTGATGTGGTCTTTAAATTTTTGCAAGTACCTCTCCACTTGGTCCCAACTCACTGATAGTCTGAAGTCCATGTGCACAAATTAACAGAACAGCAGATACTTAAAAGTCTGCTCTCAATGATGCCGATGTCACATAGCTAGTTAACTTGGAAGTAGGAGAATTCCAGCCTTTAGTAGGCTCCGGTCCATGAAAGCTCATTCTACCAACTTCTATTTGTCTCAAAGGTGCTGCAAGATCCCTTTGAATACTGAAGGCTTTTTCTTGGAGACTCAAAGGAGTTTTATCCTGCTGTTCAAAATGTCAGAATGGAACCCTTCCTCTCACATGTCTCAAAGAAGAAAGCTCCCTAATCTAATGAATTTCATTGCTAAGCAAAAGAAAAGGGTACAAAGGTTTTATAAGGGCTATCCAACTATGGACTATCCTCTTCTCAGTGACAAACACAGGAGCAGAACCATCAACAATGACAAAACCTAGTTGTTCTTGCGCATGTCTTTGGGAAATTTTTAGCTGGCAAGAAATACAATGATTAGGTTTCTTCCAAAATATTCAAAATATATTGGCATGAGCACAAATGCCCTAGATGATGATGAATGGAACATATTTTTTAATATATAATACCAGAAGAGGAGAAATTGACAAACATCAACTTACGCCAGACTATGAAAACAAAAACATCCTAACAAAAAACACACACACCTGCATTAAGACAGGTCTTCACATATGATTTTAAGCAATTTTTTTTTAAAAGGATAGGTAGAAAAACTTTGAGCTGTCCAAGCTGATGAATAATGGGGGTTGGTTCAACTAGATGTGCTCACCTGGAAACTGAAAAAAATGGACAACTGGACTGTTGTGTCAGTGCAGACAGTACAATAAAAAATCATGTAAAGATTGTACTTCTGGCTTGTACATTCTGATACTCAAGATTTCTCTAGAAATTTTATAGGCGTTGAGATTAGTCATATGTGCAACCAATCTACTATGGGATTAGTGAGGTACCAGAAGGAGATTAGTCATATCTGAACTCAGTCTAATTTGGTGCCCCTGCCAATGCAACGTTTTTAATGCAAGGAAGACAGCCCACCAAAAATGAGAAGAACATAGTTTCTATAAAATAGAGATACTTAAAAATTTAAAGAAAATATCAGAGGTATCCACCAAAAATGTAATTTGAAAATATAATTCAAAACAGGCCAGGACAATCTTTCACTCAGATTCTCTCCCCATCTTATCATCTCTTTTTAATGTACCCTGTTGTTCTGCACCTTTCAGTCATGTCCAACTTATGATGACCTTAAGGCCAAGATATCATGGGGTTTTCATGGCAAGATTTATTCAGAGGAGGTGTGCCATTGCCTTCCCCTGAGGCTGAGTGTGTGTATCAAGTGGGTCTCATGGAGGAGTGGGGAATTGAACCCTGGTCTCCAGAGTCTGAGTCTAACACTAAAACCACCATGCCACACTAGCTCTCACAACTATAGCCACTTTTAAGACATGCTACAGGATGAGTCTCCCTTATGTGGAATTCTGAAATCCAAAATATTCCAAAAACTCAAGTGTCATTCCATAGGTGGCTGATATAGCGACATCTTACTCTATAATGGTCCAATGTACACAAACTTTGTTTCATGCACAAAATTATTTAAAATGTTGTATAAAATTATCTTCAGGCTATGTGTATAATAAGGTATAAATGGAACATAAATAAATTTTGTGTTTAGACACGGGTCCCATCTTCTAGATATCTCATTATGTTTGTATCTGCAAATACAGATATTCCAACAGCCAGAAAACTCCAAAATCCAAAACACTTCTACCTCCAAACATTTTAGATAAGCTAATCAACCTACAGTATATTACTTTGATACCTTCCATTCTTTAGCATGTTTACTCAATTTTCAAGAAAGCAGCTGTGATGTTATTTGCAGTTTGGGACATAATTACTCTGTGTAATCTGAACAAATGCCCTGTTCTGCCTTTCATACCACTATACTACTATATTACATCTCACGATATTTTATAAATATGGTTAAGTAAAATTTTAATATCTTCTTTATCATCGAAAATATAAAAAAAACAGTATAAATTAGGAAGGGATTTTTTTAAATGTGTTTCTCATTAAAGTATGTGTTGTTTTATATTATTCCAGTTATTTATTGAAATGTTTATTTTTTTAGGAATTTATTTCATGTGTATGAATGGGTATATTGTTTATTTGTTTTGATCAAGCATTGAATTTAAGTTTTATTAATACTTTATTATAGCATTTTAATTGTTAGATAAACTATTGTATTGCTAGATGCTTCTCTTTTATATTACTACAGGCAAGAACCGATGCTGGACTTCCACTGGGAAAGTTGAATCTGGGCCTCTGCTCATTATGATATGGCACTGATAAAAGTATCAGGCTTACTTTTAGAAAGAAAAGTGGAGTACCAAGATTGAAAAGTGGAGTACCAAAATTGAAATGCAGGGGCCCTATTTTGGTCTGTCTTTATGTTGAACAGTCCAATAAGTGATTTGTGAAGCACCTTTCCATAAGATTAGTAAAGGGTATTATAAAATTGGACTTTTCCTATAATTACATGTGGCCTGAACAAATATTGTTGCATCTGTAATTGTTGGATTGTCTTTTTATAATGCATCTTCAACTTTCAATTTTTATTCTTTAAAAAAGTAATTTAAACCATTTATCTATATTTACACATGCCTTTTTGAAACAGAGAGTTGTAGAGAGATCTTGTAGCACCTTTGAGACTAATTGAAAGAAGGTGCTACAAGATCTCTCTACAACATGGCTATATCTTTGAATTCTACCACCTCTTTGGGTGTTTTTTTTATAGGGTCACAGAATGGCAGGATATTAGTGTGATAATTCTGTCAATGTTTCCTATTTATGTTTATCTTTCAAAGGTTTCACTAACACTATGCCTCTGTGGTGCACTGGAGCCAGAAGTGTGCTTACAAATGTAAAAGGCATGGGATACCCTGGCATTCATCATACTTGTAGTTACTGTACAGGTATAATTTAAACAGCAAGGGCAATTATGTATATATGGTTGTAATCTGGATAAACTGATCCTGAATAGTACTGGTGCAATGGGAGAGATTCTCACCACTGGATTTCCTACCTTTTCTTTTCATACCTTCAAATAAGGCAAATATCACCATAAGGTAAATATCACCATGGAGGGTGAGTGACAAAATAAATGAGCAACTGGGCAGGGACAGGAACAGTGACAACCTCTCCTGTTACATCTGTACTGTTAAAAGAAAAGGCCAGTTTCACAAGTTTTGACCCACAGTTCTATCATAACATGATCAGAGGGAAAATCTTCACCAGTACAGCTGTGCTGGATTATACCACAGCACCAGTGGTTCTGTAACCACTAACCCAGTGATAGTATTGGCTACTATCACTGAGTGATTCTGAATATGAACAACAACTAGGGCTCTCCAGGACCCTTTCCTCAAAAGACATTTGCTTCTGTTTTTGAAAAATGGGGAAGGCAGGAATGGTGTATAGTGCGGCAAGTCCTGCAACCTATTTAGCAATAGCAATAGCAGTTTCAATTATTTGCTGCTTCATATCGTGCTATGCAGTCTCTAAGTGGTTTACAACTGTACTCATTTTAGCAGCCTTAGAAGGAGTTGAGTTGAGCCTGAGACCTGACTGGTATTGAACTTGCAACCTTGTGGTTTGTGAGTGAGTGGCTGCAGTACAGGCATTCAACCACTGCACCACCAGGGCTCCTCCTATTTAGAATGTGAGTTGTCACTTCTGGGAGTTTCCAGGAATTCCAATTTATTTATCTTTTTGGTTAGAAAAAAAAGAGAATGAAGAGAAAGAAAGAGAGAGAGAGAGTTTGCAGAGATAACAAAAACAATTAAGGGGAAGATACTTCAGGGCCATAGTCTGACAACCTCTATGCTGGAGAAGAAGTGATCTATAGGAATCCATAAAACAAGACAGATAAGAATTAATTGTTGTTCCTGTTCTGTTTTGTTGTTATGTGATTGTTTGATACTGGAAATAGGAATGGAGGTTGTTGGATGCAGGCACTAGCAATCTGTAACCTAATTGTCACAGACACATTGTTTAAGGTTCTGATGCAAGTATAGTTTCATGAATTCAGCAATAAGTAATTTGAGCTTGGAGTGTGAAGAATATTGAAAAGAATGTACAATATTACTGAAGTGAGCTACTTTTAGAGGAGAATTTAACTGTAAATAAGAGACAACTGTTGTATCATTTTAAAGATGTTTCCCATCATGAGAGCAAAGAAAACTATTTATAATCAAATGGTACCTTAATATGATGCTGAACTTTAAAAAGATACTTTAATACACATGTATTTATATAAACAACATTTGTGTGTGTGTGTACTTTTAAAATTGCTGGCTTAACCCAACAGCTGTAGGACAAATTATGCGGAGGAAACAGCTAAATCACTTAAATTTCTTAGTGCAAGAATGAAATTAGAATTACAATTACTTGCAGGTAAATGTGGCATGTATTATTCCTTAAGTATAGTTAGAATATCTGTATTTTGCACCATTTTGACCTATTCATCAAAGCAAATCTAAGTTAGGGCAAAGAACAAAATAACAAACAGGGCATACGGGGAAAATTAATCTTGCTCTTTTTTTTTTTAAAGAAAATTCTAACCTGAGTTCTGTTAAATGCCACACGTGCAAAAACTGCCTGCGAGATTCCTGCTCGTTTCAATTCATCACGCACCCACTGGTAGATTTCGGAAGACACCTCTGTGTTAGTCGAGACCTGCTGCTCCAACGGCTTGTTTATAGATCTGCTGACGGGAGGAGGATGGTTCAAGTACTGTTGGTTTAAGGACTGTTGGGCTAGAAGTCTGTTCACTGCATACTGCTGGTTTAGTAACTGGGCCATTACCAGCTGCTGATTTACCAATTGAGGACTAATGGGAGTAGATACAAGTCCATGGTGCAGGTTTGGAAGTGGGGTCCGAACAGATGGTTGACTGCTATGAGAAAGCTGAACAGGAGATGGAGGCTGCTCAGCTGTGTTCCCTGGGACTGGTTGATGACCAAAGTTGACATGGTTGGCACCTTGCTGTGAGAGTTCAGAAAGGCTATCCATTTCAGCTACAAAAACAAAAACAAACAAACAAACAACAAACAGGAATTACTATTTACTTAGATGAAATTATGTACAGATACATATAAATACAAAGACATTATTTCATAAGACTACTTCTTTACTCCTTTTCATCTCTTTGAAGTTGACCTAAGAAATTGTATCAATTGGCATACTTATGAAAAAAAAATTAGTGAGACTCTGGCATGCTAAACCAAGCAATCTTATGTATATTTACTCAGAAGTAAGACAGACTCATATAATAGAACTAACTTCCAGGTAAACACACACACAGTACATCATAAATGTTTGAGCGGAGAGGTCAAAAGGTCAAGGGAGGCGCTAGGTCAATTAAAGCACAGATGTACAATATTTGTTTTGAGTATCTTCAAATTAAATTACTATCACCACAAGAATTCAAGCATCAGTTCGCAATTAGTGAAACCTATGAATGCTCCTCTCAGGGAGATCACAACATCCTCTAAGTGCATAGCCACATCTTGGAATTGAGTGCCATGTGTGCATATAAATGCAGGATATACACATTTTGCTGTACTCTCTTTTATAGACAAATTTTCATATAAAAATTACTTATTTTTAATGTATTTCCTTCATTAAGATTTCCCCCGTTTCCCCCAGTTTCCAGTTTTTCCTATAGGAAAAATGGGGGGGGGGGGATTTCCTTGGGAAAATAGTTCCATTTCTCCTCCCATTTTTGAGGTTTTGTCATCTTACTCATTAGACTTCTTCTAACAAAAACAAAAATGTGTCTTCTTTTAATGCAAACAAAATTTAATGCTCACTTGAAAAACTGAATTCTCTACAGATAACCTATATCTGAAGGTTCTGAAACCAAAGATTCAAACCAGAATAGAGTTCCAGAAAGAGCTGGTTCACAAGTTTGTATACACAGTTCAACATCTGGTTACTTTTAAAACAGCCACTGCTTCTGTCCAATAAATCACTTCTGGATACAAGCAATGTGTGTGTGGGGGGGGGGGGAGGAACGGCTGTGTGCTTAAACTGTCTCAGGGCTGGCAGCCATTTCTGCTGTTGTAAGATGCTAGCTTGCAGTAATAACTGCAAATTTGTACAGATTTGGCCACATACAGCATCAGTTTTCACAGGCACTTATCCATACTCCCATACTTAGGTAGGAGAAGCAAGAGAAATGACACTGTCATTTGGAATTTTAAAAAATATTTCTGTTGTCACATCACTCAGCTTCTAGTACCAAGTGTGAACAGGCTCCCCAGAAAAATACTGTGGCTGAAAAGCAGTGTAAGGTGACATAAAGTATTTGTGTTGTTTTATCTATGACAATTGTTTCATACATACAAACCATCACTTA